CGATCAGGACTTGATCAGGACAGGATCAGGACTCGATCAGGACAGGATCAGGACAGGATCAGGACTCGATCAGGACAGGATCAGGACTCGATCAGGACAGGATCAGGACTCGATCAGGACTCGTGAGTCTGACTCCTCACATTCAGTTTGTTAAGAACTTGTCTTCTGCTGAACCCAGCTGCAGTTTGTGTCTTCCCATCAGAACCTGTACCACCCTGCGTCCGGTTCTGGACCTGGACCCAGCTCCTCAGGCCAGCTGCTGCTGTGTGGTCATGAGGATCAGAGGGACCTCCTTGTCTCCGGTCCCCAGCAGGGGGAACATCCTCTCGGTGAACTCAGAKGGGGAGTGGAAGCTGTAGATCTCCGTCCCCGTCTTCACATTGAAGAAKGACACCTGTCCCTCGTCTGCGTCCAGGAACACGCCCACCTGTCTCAGCTTGGGGTGGTGACCTTTGACCTGTGTTRGAGAAGCAGAGATGGTCAGCCTGCAGGGGGGCAGGCTTCAGTAACACTGAGGTGAGACCAGGACCTGACCTTGGTGAGGGGTGGGGCTGTGAGCGCCCGCAGCTGGCTGCTGGACCACCAGAGGGCGTAGTAGCCGTTAGCTGGACTCATGTCGAACAGGCCTTTCCTCTGAGCAGACTCACTGACCACGCCCAGCTTCCAGTCCTTGTTCTCACCCACAAACACCTGCAAGACCAGGACCAGGGTCAAACAGAGCTGATACTGGTCCTGCTCAAACACCTGATCTAAACAGGCCCCCCCAGTAAGACTAGTGGATCTGGTCCTGGTTCTGACCTCCCAGTAGTGGCGTCCGGAGCTGAAGCCCTCCTTGGCGATGACGCAGGACCACACGTCGAACCTCTGCTGGCTGTTCCTGAAGAACTGCAGCTTCTCTCCTCTCTTCACCTGCTTCCTGTCCTCAGACAGGATCAGGAACGGGTACGCAGTCACCGGGTTCAGCATCACGTCCTCTGAGGGGACACCAGGACAGAACCGTGAGAACCGGACCTTTACGCCGGTTCTGATCAGAGGTTCYGTCAGTTTTAACTGATCTGATCAAACTCACCCATGTAGGCCCGGGCCTTCTTTGGACCTGAAACAGAACAAGTCCCGTTAATCAGAACCGGCTTGTTTTAAAACTGAACCTGCAGTTGGACTGGAACCAGAAGCAGAACCGGTTCTGTGTAGAACTGGAACTATGGGATCAATCTTGTGCCAGCAGGAAGTGAGTCTGAATTCTTCAGATTAAATCTGAATGTTCAGAATTTGAATTTGAATGAATTGTTTTGAAACTGAATTTAAAGTTTTGTATCTGAATTAATTTTCTTTGAAACTGTATTTTGGTTAATTAAAACTTCAGTTTGACTACTTTCACTTTCAGTTCCATAATTCAGATKTTTGTGTCACATCCTGGTCCTTGAGAAAGCCAGGCAGAGTAATCAAACACAGATCCACAGATTTATGTTTCACTTTGGTGAAGTTTCCCTTCTGGATGTAACAGAGTTGATGCAATCCACTGTAAAAGTGACAAAAACACACAAAGTTATTTTATTGCAGTGATTAATTTGACCTATATGTAGAAAATGTTACATTTACATCATGGATCACATATTGATCAGATGCTGCTGACTGATCCATGATGTCATCATGTAAATGTAACATTTTCTACATATAGGTCAAATTAATCACTGCAATAAAATAACTTTGTGTGTTTTTGTCACTTTTACAGTGGATTGCATCAACTCTGTTACATCCAGAAGGGAAACTTCACCAAAGTGAAACATAAATCTGTGGATCTGTGTTTGATTACTCTGCCTGGCTTTCTCAAGGACCAGGATGTGACACAAACATCTGAATTATGGAACTGAAAGTGAAAGTAGTCAAACTGAATTTTTAATAAACCAAAATACAGTTTCAAAGTAAATTAATTCAGATACAAAACTTTAAATTCAGTTTCAAAACAATTCATTCAATTTCAAATTCTGAACATTCAGATTTAATCTGAAGAATTTTAATTCAGTTCCTGTTGGAAGAAGATTGATCCCATACTGAACTCACCTGAAACCTGTTTGGATTTCTTCACATCTGAGGAGGAACAGAAAAACCAGATCAGCTTTAAAAAACTGTTCCCCCAACCAACAGTCTGCCACTTCCAGCTGGTCCAGAACCTGATCCTGGACGGACCCGTGTTCAGGTCCAGGATGGCCCTCACCTCTCAGAGACCACTGACTCATCCTCAGGCTGGCCTTGCTCCCCCTCAGACTCATCATGCTCTCAGCTGCCAGCAGGTCTCTGGGGGAACCTGGAACCACAGAGACCAGGACTCAGACTTCAGAACACACCTGGACACACACACACCTGTGGACAACAGGGGACTCACAGGAGCCTCTAGAACCTCTGGAACACCTGGGATGGACCCCCCCAGTCCGGATGTCTTCAGTCTTTTCCTTCAGCTCAGACAGGCCGTTCTTCACCTCCTCCAGCTGGAAGTGAAGGGACAACTCCGAGTCATCGTCCACGTCCTCCTGCGTGGCGTCCTCGAGAGGAGACATGGCGTCGTCGTAGCTCTGAGAGGAGGAGGAGGAGGAGGAGGAGATTTTCTCCTTCTGCTCCTTTTAGAGACAAAGACAGAAGTCTCACCTGCAGGAAGCTGATGTGGTCCTGGCTGATGGCCTGGACCTCCAGCGTGGCCCTCCTGTCCGTCAGCAGGCTAAGCTCCGCCTCCAGACGTTGGACAGACCTGTCCCCCTTTGACACCACAGCCTCCAGCTGGTTCTGGATCCCGCCCACCACCTGAGTCCGGATCCTGTCCAGAGCGGCGGACACTTCGTCCAGAAGGAGTTCAACTTCTCCTCGCTCTTTGTCCGCGTAGCTCTGAGACAGAAAGACGAGACAAAGTGTCCTGATCCAGTCCTCGTGTCCTGATCCAGTAATCCAGACTGTCCTGGATCCTGTTCTGGTCTGAACCAACTGGTYTGAAGGTCCTTCAGAGTCTCTCAACTGGTCCACTAGGATCTCATGTTCAGGAACAAAGTGGCCAAAGACCAATTTTGAGCGTGTCAGAAGACCTGTTGACCTGGACCAGAGACCAGGACAGTCTACAGACCTGTTGACCTGGACCAGAGACCAGGACATTCTGCAGACCTGTTGACCTGGACCAGAGACCAGGACAGTCTGGATCAGGAGTTCTAAACCCAGATTCAAAGCCTCACTCTCAGACCTGCAGGCCCTCCAGCTTGGTCTTCAGTTCCCCCATGCGGATCTCCTTCTCCTTGATCCGGTTCACGATCTCCTGCTCCGTTCTCGCCACCAGTTTCTGGACACACAGGTGGATGCAGACAGGTGAGGACAGGTGGTCACCTGGACCTCAGACACACCTGGACCTCAGCAGGTCTCTTACCTGTTTCCCCTGTCTCTCGGTCTGGACTGAGACGGTTTCATGGGTCCGGTGTTTGTCCAGGAAACAGATGGCACAGATGCAGTGCTGACAGGTTCGACAGTAAACCTGGAGACACAAAGACGTGTCAGAGCTGTGACGCAAGCTAACATCACATTCATCTCAACAGACGTGGGGGCAGGTGACTGGAAACAGGAAGTTGTGGATGTGTGTGGTGGGCGTGGCTCTTGCCTCCAGCAGGCGRCGGTGCTCGGTGCAGGTGCGGCCCCTCAGGGCCTCCTGGGGGTCCATCAGGGGGTGTTTGGCGTAGAAGGCGGTGGTGTTGTGCGGCTGGACGTGCTCCTCGCAGTAGGAGGCGGTGCAGGTGAGGCAGGAGCTGACCGCCGGCCGCTTGACCCCCGTGCAGATGTCGCACCACACCACGTCACCTGACGCCTTGGTGTTGGCGGGCGGCGGGCCGAACGGGTCGGTGCTGCCGCTGTCGTCGTACATGGCGTCCACCAAACCGTTGCTGGCCGGCGCCGAGAGGCCCGTGGCTCCATAACGGTTCTGTTTGTATTTGTCTGCGATGAGAGCGAACACCTTGTTGATGCTGAGGCGAGGACGCTCGTCAAACTGATGCTTACACAGGGGACAGGTGCAGACCGGACTGGAGGCCCAGTACCCCCCGATACACGCCTGTACACAGGACACAACACAGGAGTACTCACTGAGTACTTCACTTTGTACTTTTCTTCAGGGTGTGTCATTATGGAGCTCCGCTGGGGTCATAAGTTTTGTTCAAAATAAAAGATTTTTGAAACTGAAAAAACAAAATGTTTGAAACTTTTCCAGATTCTAATTTAATGTTTTTAAATTTAATTTTTTTATTGTTTTGAACAAAACTTATGACCCCAGCGGAGCTCCATAATGACACACCCTGAAGAAAAGTAC